TGCGGGTGTGGGGGCCTGCAGGAAGCGCCTGGACCACCCGAACATAATAAAGTTGTTTGAAGTTTACGAAGACGAAAAGAACTTGTATTTGGTGATGGAGCTTTGCACGGGGGGAGAGCTTTTTGAGCGCATCATCAAAAGTGGCCACTTTTCCGAACGCTATGCTGCATGCCTCATGCGCCAAGTCTTCTCTGCTGCTGCTTACTGCCACGCCAACAATGTCATGCACAGAGATCTCAAGCCAGAAAACCTTCTCTACGCCGACAGCTCGCCCCTCTCAGCCCTCAAGGTCATCGGTGAGGCCCCCCACTGCTGCTGCTGCTGCTGCTGCTGCTGCTGCTGCAACCGGCGCCCTGCAGCTGCAGCAACCTGCGCCGTGCAGCTGCAGCACGGAAGCAGCATTCATGGGGCAGCATGCAGGGTGCTGCACCGCTGCAGGCCTTTGGGAGCTCTATTGGTTCTAGTGATGGTGGTCGTATCAAGTCGTTTCGCTTTACATTTGAAGCATATTTTCGCTGCTTTATGGATTCATCTTCGAGTTCGTTTGTTGCTGCTTTTACAATTGAATATAGCGCACTTTGTTTGCTGATAAGTTGGCTTGCTATTACTTTGAGACTTTTATTTTCGATAGTAAGGTGGTAGTGGGGCCGCCACGCATTAGCAGAAATATATTTATTATATATGGGCAGAGCCTCAGGCCAATGAAATAGCTGTCTTTGTGTGCTGCAGTTATTCAGCTCGAGTGAAGATTTCGCATATGTGCATTCCTTATCAGTTTTCGGGTTGTATGATTTGAATATATTTGTTACTAGACAAATTCACCGTTCGTATTCATCTGTACATACATACACCTTGTGCAACTACACATTTATCTATGTAAGTATAGTAACCAATTAAGTTGTGCCTGTGTATCTATGTAATTTATATGCATTTAGATATTCATTTTTATTACATACGAATTTAGAGATGCAAACTGCGCACAAGTTGTGCCTAGGCTTGCCTGGCTGCCTTATGCTTAGCAGAATTCCTTGGAAACATCTTAGTCGCAAAAATGTAGCATCATAATTAATCTTTGCAAACACATATTATATTCTTGTACGTAAAACTATTTACATTTTTCATTTTTATCTTTATTTATATCTCTAAGTATGAGGGCGGCTATGCATGTGCCTGCGGGTGTGTATACCTATACAACCTGTGCGAGTGCCAATGCGCTGCTGCTGCTGCTGCTGTGTAGAAGTGGGCATTTTGCTTGTGTGTGGTCTGTGTGCCGAATTAGTTTTTTTTGCTTGGCTTTGAGTTGTTTTGGATGCTTTCAGTTTCTTTATGTAATAACCTTTTGCCTGATTGTGCCGTTACTGCCTTTCGCCTGCGCTGGCGTTGCTGGGCGCTGCACAACAGCTGCATTTCTGCTGCTGCTGCTTGCTGCTGCTTGCTGCTGCTTGCTGCTGCTGCTACAGACTGGGGCTTCGCTGCTCGCTGCGGCCGCAGCCATAAGTTTAGCAGCGTCGTGGGCACGCCTTATTACGTTGCGCCTGAAGTTCTCTTCGGCAAATACGGCAGCGAGTGCGACATATGGAGCACAGGGGTCATTCTTTTCATTCTTCTTTGCGGCTATCCGCCTTTCCGTAAGCCAAGGCATCAATTGCATGCAACAAAGGGGCAAATATGTGTACATTTACATATATATATTCCCTTTTTACAATTGTATACATTTATACACAAATATATAGACAATGCCAGAATGCATGCATGTGCCTACATATGCCTTGGGAAACATGCATTCGAATCTCTTCGCCCGCAGTTCCGGGTGCGTTCAAGTTGCCATTTTTTCTGCAAATGAAGTAATCCGTTTGCCTTTATCTGTGTGCGTCGTTGCTGCGCCGTCGAGCGCCATGGGGTGCCCTACTGCTGCTGCTGCTGCTGCGGCTGCTGCTGCTGCGGATCAAGTCGCACTGCTAATTATCATCAGAGCGGGTTGTGGCTTGTGGCGGCGCAGGCCAAACTGGGCGTGCCTGGGCAGCAGATTTTCTTGATCTTAGTGTACAGTTTGGGTGCTTGTTTCCTGGAGCTTTTGTTGAGAACTCGCACTGGGTGTCTGCATAAATAGAATGTTGAACAAATGGGCGAACATAAAGGCAGAAATAAAGGGAAATGCTGCTTGTGTTGCGTTGCTGCTGCGTTTCGCGGGTCTCAGATGGAAAAGACAACCAGGCGATTCTGAAGAAAGTGCAGGCGGGGGAGTTCAGCTTTGACCCGCGCCACTGGAAGCGGATTTCGGAGCCGGCGAAGGACTTGGTGAGAAGATGCTTGACTTACGTGCCTTCGAAACGCATCACCGCGCAAGAGGCGCTGCAGCACCCGTGGATTCAGGCCTATGCTGCGGGGCACGGGGGCGTGGAGCAGGCGCTTTCAGTGCGTCTTGGGTCGGATTTGATAGAACGTTTCAAGAATTTTCAGCGGCTGCACAAGCTGAAGAGGCTGGCCATCACCTGCGTGGCCTACCAGCTCTCCGACAGCGAAATCGGCATGCTGCACGACGCCTTCGCCGCGCTGGACAAAAACGCAGACGGAGTCCTCACTGTGAGCGAAATGCAACAGGGGCTGGAGCAGTGCGGCATTCAGGGGGAAGACGTGATCGAAGTGCTTAAGGAACTCGACACCGACGGAAACGGCACAATTGACTACACCGAGTTCATCGCCGCCTCCATGGATCACAAAATCTATGAACAAGAATCCGCCTGCCAGAACGCCTTCAGGGTCTTTGATCTCGACGGCGACGGCAAAATATCCGTGTAAGAATTTCAAAATGAATTGGGATCAAACTGGCAAGAACGAAATTGCTTTTCTGCTGCATCTGTGCCGCCTCAGTGCGCTGCGTACTGCTAAGTAGTAGTTGAGTTCCTGTGCAGCCTACGCTATTTCAAATCCTAGGGTTTGCGCCTCATGCTTCCTGCATTTTGTTTGTTTCTTTTCGTCTTTGCGGCTGGCCCGCTCTGCTCATGTATTCGTTTTGCTTCTGTTCCCAATTTAGCGAAGTGCATGTGAAGGCAATGGTCAACGTGCATCTCTTGCTGGCTTTTGCGCTTTTGTACGACAGAGATGAATTGCATAAAGTGCTCGAGACGAATTATATTAAGGAGGCGTTCAGTAAAGAGGCTGTCCTTGAGATGATTAGAGAGGTGCGGCAGAACAGCTTCTGGATCTTGGATTGTCTTGCATTTGCGGTTTGCAGTTCACGACCACTTAAGAGAACAGAGTAATGCAGATGGTGCACATATTACTCCTCCTCTTTGAATTTTTTAGTGTTGAGGAGCTCAAGAATCGTTGGGAGTGGATTTAAATTCGATTTATTGTTGGAAATTTAGCTTTTTTTGTTTTTGCGTGCTGCAGGGGGATCTGAACAACGACGGCATGATCGACTTCGACGAATTTATGCGCATGATGAGAGGCCGCCAAAGGAAAGCCAGCGAAGGCACTTCGCCGCTGGCGCGCGCGCGGGCGCTGCTATACCGTCGTTATGACAACTGAGGGAGTGAAAGAAGTACAAAAAAGGAAAAGAAAAAAGAAATACAAATTGGAAAAGATTTATTCTCGAGGGGTTAGTGAACGGCGTGAGGCGCTCCGCCCGACAGCGACGAGTCCGAGTTGTCCGCGCTGGGGCGCTAGCGAGAGGCAAAGGCCTAGCGCTTGTTCCAAAAGGCTGCAACGAGCCAGCGCTAACCGAACTTGTAAAAGTGAAGAAGACAAAGACATGCAAACAAAGATAAGAAAGCAAGGGGAAGCAAATGCAGCAGCAGACGCAGCGCAGCAAAGAAAGTGACTGCCGGCGCCTGCCAGGAAAGAAATCCAAGTCAGCTGACTGCGGTGGGGGCGCCTTGCTGCACATTTTCTTGTTAGCTTTTTGTCTGTTGAGCCACTCACCGAAGTGCTCCCTCCTACGAAAGTAGTAACAGTGTTATATTTGTTCCTTTTTCAAATTCAGGGACGGGTTGAGAGCTGGCCGGCTTTCAAAATGTAGCACGGCGTAGCATTCACAGAGGCTCCCTTTGGTTTGCAAAGCACCTTTACCATTTCACACTTGGCTGTACAATAAGTCGTAAAACTGCGGCGTTCTTATGGGTTGCTGTATGGCTAGCCGCAGCTGGCCGTGGCTAGCTGTCGCTAGCTGCTGTTTCCCCAACGGAGAAAGCCTTGTTCTCTTCTTTAGTGCAGGAATCAAAGTCGCTAGTTCTCATTTCAAACGGCTAGGGAGTGCAGCGGCTCCCGGTGAGAAGTACAATGGCCCTTGGGGTAATGGTCATGTGCGTGCTGCAGGGACCGAAATTAATGTGATTAATAAAAATAGTTTGATGAGAATTACTGAACATTAGTAATTAGCGCTGATTTGGGGGCGAAGGCTTTGCAGAGGAACTGTTTGTGTGGGTGCTGGTGGTCAGGGTAGGTCTTGCCGATTAGACGAATACGTTGCTAGTTATGTGAAATGCACACAGTACTGTGAAGTACATATAGGGACATCTAAAAATGACGAATATTCTAATTAAATAGAGAAAACGAATGGCTCTGCTAGCGTTGGGCGCAGCCGACCGCCCCACACTCTGAACACGATGGCAGCACACACAGCGTCCGGAACGGCGCTTTTAAGCTTAAATTAATTTTTAATTTAATTAAATTAAAAATTAAAAACGTGCCCTGCTGTAACAGCAGAAAGTAGGGTCTCCAGTGCATTCACAACAGCTTTGTCTAGTGAGCTCGCCTGCAGCCTGTCTTCTGGCCTCTGTAGTGGCTTAACGACGACTAGCACATACTCTCTCTTTGTCTTGGCTTCGAAACCTGATGTATTCCCAAGAAATGGAGCGACTGGGTTGCATCAGATAAATAAATAAGACTTCATTTGTCCTATAGCAGTTCCAAAGGGGCCCTGGCTCGCCATTTTCCGTCTGTTTCCTTTTCCTCCGCTGGATTTGAATTGTGGGCTTTGGGGTCACTTCGAGCCAAAAATGGGGCCCGAAGAAGAGCTGCAGCCCGGCGATGGCTACGGAGGCAATGGGGTGCATTTTTTCCCCCCAAGTGCGGACTCAAGTTTGATATTTCTGCACGGGAGAGGGGATAGCGGGGAGGGCTGGGGGGTGCTGGCTGGCTTGTTGAACAGCAGAGAGGCCCTGCGGGGCCGCGTGCGCCTCATTTTGCCAACAGCGGACAGAATTCATATAACAAAGTATGACATAGAGTGTAACGCCTGGTTTGATTCGCGTTCGGAGCGCCGCGACACAGACGAAGACGCGGAGGGCTTCGAGCGCAGCCACCGCCGCGTTCAACATTTAATTCAACAAGAAATACAAAACGGAATTAAACCTTCACGGATTATTGTGGCGGGATTCAGCCAGGGAGGCGCAATGGCCTACTACACACCCTTGCGCTCGGAGACCCCTCTGGCCGCAGCCATTTGCCTCAGCGGCTGGTGCCCGTTTCTGCACGATTTAGTCGTGCAAAAGGCGTTTGCCAGCGGCAACTGTCAGTTCATGCACATGCACGGCGTGGTAGACACAGTAGTTGACTACAGCTTCGCACGGCAGTCGTATGAAGCCGCTGTGGAAGCAACGAAGAAAGCAGCAGCAGCTGCTGCTGCTGATCCCGCAACAGTGGCGAGTAGATTCGAATTTAAAACCTATGAAAGACTTGGCCACGAGTCAAACGCCAAGGAAATGGCAGACTTTCTGCATTTCATTGAGCGCTGCCTCGCAAAAAACACCTGAGCTTTCCTTAAGCCCTGCGCACCGCAAGCCTGCCGGTGGCTGTAGCCAACATAGAAAAGTAGCAAACAAAAGAAGGCCTTTAAATCCCTCAGAAGCTCCTCCAAACATGCGATTTAGACTCTTGGAAATATAACTAACGAACGCTACATCTTAAAATCCTAAACGTTGAAATCAGGCCTGCCGTGAGCCCGCGACATGCTAAATACCCAATTACCCTGACTCTGCAACTTATGTGAACTCATTTTTTTCAACACTATTCCCCTTAGCTGCAAAAGTTCCCTAATGTGATGTACTGGGCAAAGAGCCATTTGGCCCAACATTAGTTCCATCAGGTCTACACGGAGGTCGCAGCGCAACAAAACCCAAATCGCCGTCTAATGACAAAAAATAAAAAATAAAAGGAGTCCCAAGTTAGTCAGATCATCTAAAGCGGGCCCCAACTCGCCGGGCATTCAAAGAATTGCCTTGGGGCCCCCTAAAGGCAAAGCTCCCCGGGGGACCTCAGGGGCCCCTTTGCGCGAAATTGCTGAGGCTTTGGGGGCCCCGCCGCGGTATCATAAGCCCCATTGAATGGCTGAGTGCCTTCTTAAAAGACATGGGGCTTTAATGACGGACTCGGAGGCCCTAGGGGGGCCCCTCCCCCCAGTCGCTCTCTCTGGGGGCCCCTAGGGGGCCCCTATGGGGCCCCCGGAGGTGCTGCTTCGTACAGTGTGTATTTGGTTTCAGAGCCCTGACTTTGTGGGTTGTTTTTTGAGACTGCGGACGTAGAGGTTGTGCATTCGGAGTTTGTGGATGTTGGTGCATCTGTCTCTGAGATCTTGAATCAAATCAGTGAAAACGTCGAACTTCTTGACAATCACTTTGCTCACCAAGGCCTGCTTCACTGCGTCCGGCAGCACTGGCACTTGAAAGGCATACACGGGGCAGTAGCCGTAAGTTCGCTCCACCTCTGCATGCACTATATCCCGGGGGGCCACTGGGCCAATGCCTCCGTGGACCACTGGAATGCGCATTCCCATTTCCACCTGAAAAAAGATATTCATCGCACAGAATAACTCCAAATATCCATTTACGAGTTTATAGTACATATAGGTGCTAATCTGCAGTGTTTGCATATATCATATATATATATATATATGTATATATATATATGTATATATATATATATACATATGTATACATATATACTGAGGCAGCAGCAGCAGCAGCAACAGCAGCAGAAGCACCTCTATCTTCTCGAATTCGTCCAGCAGCAAGTCGAAGCTGCCCACGTAACGAGTCCGAAGGATCACCGGCACCACTGGAGCATCTTTGGGAGGGGCAGGGATTGTCTAAGGCAGCACAAAGAGGCAGCAGAGCAATTATCATTCAAACTCCAGCTGAAGTTTTTAGTCCTTCTTTTAGGGTTTAAATGCTAGGGTTAAGGGTTTGGGGGCTAGGATCTAGGGCTTCGAGGCTAGGGTTTAGGGTGTGGCTCTCTTACTTTAATTTCCTGTTTGTCTGTGGAAATCTCTAAGGGCTTTTCTTCTTCTCCGTTGATCAGCTGCTTCACTTCTTCTTCCGACAGCAGCGGCTCTTGAAGAGCTTTCCGTCTTTGCTGCTCGGCTTCCACAACTGTGGCCCGCAGCAGCCGCTGCTGCTCCTCATATGCTTCTTTCTGCCGCAAAACGCACCCGCAAATGCGCGGGCAAACCCTAAACCTAAAGCCCTGAACCCTAAACCCTAAACCCTAAACCCTGAACTCCGGGTACCCGAAGCCCTACACCCTGCGCAGCAGCAAGTGCGCTGCTCGATACTCACATACCACAAGCCCACGGTTTAGGGCTAGGGTTTAGGGTTTAGGGTTTCCGGAAGTGCCTGTGTCTCCTTTCCCATTCCTAGCCTCTTATATGTAGCATTTGCAAAAGCTAAAGAACACTCAAATGGTATGCATGTGAAATGTACGGCCATGTTGCATGCATGCGCATGCATGCCATTGCCTGGAGCATTTCCATAAAAGGTAGTGCAAATGTAATAATACAATAAAACATGTCTTCAAATTTATCATGTCTTTAGTAGACAAATCTCATCATGTGCTTCAAAACAATCCTTCACATTGTACATACGCATCTACATATTTTCTGAGGACTGACTTAAGTACATCTACAAGAATATGGAGCAAACAAATCTTTTGCAAATACTTTTTCTTCGCTGCGCACATGTACTCTTGAAAGTTATTAGTGTCTCGAAAGTGTTTAGATATGATAAGCTACTTGGGTCTACACAAGCGCACATGCATGCATATACTTCTGTACTTGTACGCATATAAACTCCTAAGCGCAAAGACTTACATTTATTTATTTATTTATTTATTTATTTATTTATTTATTTATTTATTTATCTTTATTATCAAGTCTTACTCTTTGTCTTGATTTTGCCCTCCAGCGGCTCATCAGCTCTTCATTTTCCCTCACAACGCGTTCGGCCCATTCCTCTTGCGTTTCGAATGGCCGCAGCGAACTGGTGCCTGTGGCACCTTTTGCTGCAGCAGAAGCAGCTGCTGCTGCGGTTTCTGTTTCCGTTGCTGCTGCTCCTTCTGATTCCATTTCTTTTGCTGCTGCTGTTGCTGCTTCTGCTGCAGAGGCGAAGCCCCATGCAGTGCTGTTAGCTTTGCTGCTGCTGGGGTGCTGCAGCTGCCGACGGCGCCGCGTAGAAGACCTCCCGAGCTGCTGAACTCCAGACAGCTGCTGCTGCTGCTGCTGCTGCTGCTCTTGGTCCTGCTGCTGCTGCTGCTGCGGTTGCTCCTTCTGCTTCTCTGCATAGAAAAGCATCTCATCATCATCTGAGTCTTCTTCCGGCGAGACAACAATTGGCTCGAGATCAATACGATCAGGCCGAGCATTGGCTTGCTGCTGCTGCTGCGTCTTTGGGCGCAGCCCTAGAAGCTCCATCTCGTCAAGAAGCTCCTCCCCTGGCGCTGCTGCTGCTGCTGCTGCTGCTGCAGCACCGTCGGCGTCGGCGCTTGGGGTGTCTCTACCCCTGCCTTGAAGT